GGGGGGGCACAGGGCCGGGGATGCTCCCGAGAAGGTCCCTAGGCTATTCTCTTTGTCGAGGCAAGAATCAGTGGAGAGATGGTTGAAAGGAGGAAAAGAAGTTGTTGGTTTTTTTCTCGTGCGTGTGTCCATTTTCTGCTTTAAATTCAAATTTTAAAAGACGGCAACTTTTTAAAGCAGCCGTTTCTGTCGTTCTGTGCCTTCTGCTGGGACAGAAGGCTCTTGAAGGCTGACGGTGCGCTTGGTTTTCCCGCTCCGGCTCCCAAATATTGTCGTCCCAACCAGGCGCCTCCCGGTGAGACCCTCGCCGGGTTCCCGTCCCAGCCAAGCCAGAGTGGGCCACTGACTGCACCGATTTCTTCAACTCCGTCTCCATCGGCTCCGCCAAACTAAGCCGTATTGATCAAGCACATAAGACGGAGAGAAAACCAGGACGGGCTGATGGTGCCAACGAGCAGATTATTCCCAGGCAGGGATTTAAGGAAGTTGCTCACTCGTACTCTTTTCAACGCACCGTGTAGGCATCCTCCCATGAGTAAAAAAGCGGGGAAATTAACTAAAGTCCTTTAAATAAAAAGAGGACTGAAAATATTCGCTCCCTAAAACGACTCAAGAGGACACGCAAATTTGTCACTAAAGTTCCAACTCCTAAACCTAGAACAGAATCCGAGGGGCTTTTAATACGCAGGCTTGTGCCAAGAGACGTGCTGCTGGACTACCCGCGGTCAGGTCCAGATCTGTGCAACTCCTGTCCCTGCTGAACGTTATTAATTAAAACAGAAAAACAATTATTTGGGTTACCCTTGACCGCCAGTGAAGTGGGCAACACGAGATAATCGCTTTGAAACGAGCGAGAACCAACCGCAGTTTGCCCTTCTATTACCTGAATTTACTAATAGGTGGAATATATAGATAGAATATATATATATATGTATATATATATTCTACCACAAACAGGGCGTGCATACTTAGAAGCGCCCGAAGTGTTTGGCAGAGGGCTGAGGATTTCAGTGCGGCCCGCGGTGGCCTGGGGGCCCGGTCTTGTCCAAGGTGTAAGCCGGGGGAGGGGGGCACAGAGGAAGAGCTCCGCCAGCCCCCCTCCCCGGCTGGGGAGCCAGGAGACCCTGCGGCCGCAAGGTCAGCTCAGGAAACGTCGCCTCTTGCCACAGAGAAAACAAGACAAACGATTCTCCCGACATCAATCCCGACACAAAAAAAAAAAAAAAAAAAAAAAAAAAAAACCCAAAACCCAAAAAAACACCAAAAAAAAAAAACCCAAAACAAAACCAAACATAAGTCCTCAAACCGCTTTACCCCTTTACTCCGAGGGACATCCTTCTTTTTAACAGCCCGGTTTCCCTGCGGGACAGCCCCGCTCCTGGGGCCGCTCCCGGCGTACGAGGGGCGGCGGGACGGGGGTCCCGGGGGTCCCGGCCCTGAGCTCCCTCGGCCCTACCTGAAAAGCAGAGTCCGGCCTGCCTGAAAAGAAAGACAAGGGAGGGTACAAAACCTGGGAATTATTCTCTTCACCCTTCCTGTGTTGGGGGGGAATGCCTAAGTCCCCTTTGCTTTCCTACCTCCTCTATGCGCCGTGTAAATACCGATAATAGAAAAGCCAAGCTCCCGTCAAAGTAACGGAGCAGATCCTGAAAAAACCCACACAGAGAAACCCTCCAAAACCCCTCTCCCTTTCCCCCTGCTTATCTCACCCCCTCGCCCCCCCTCCCCGAGCAACCAGGTCGTAACATACCTGTCCCTAGCAGGGGCTGCCCCCGGCGTGCCCGGCCCGTCGGGGTTCCGGGGAGGGGGGGGGGGCGGCGGGGAATATTTCGGTGTTGACCGTGCCTGGCTGAAAAACACCGACATGGGGGGGGGGGGGGGGGGCCGGGGAGCAGGGACGGCGTTGGCAATCGCCTCCGGGCAAGGGGTTGCTCCCCTGGGAGAGGGACCGCCCTTGGGGACGTGTGGGTCCCTGCTCGTACCTTGGAGATGAAATGCCAGGGAGGAAAGAAACCGGGGGGCTTCGTTTTGTTTTATTTTAAACGGGGGCCGTCCACACGGGCCGGCTCTTCTTTGCTCAGTTGAGTCATGCAATTCTTCGCTCTGTCCCACGAGAATCTTTATTTCCTTAGTTTTCCCCTCGCTCCGCCTCCGATAAGGAATGAGCTTTGTCTAGACGTCCAGAGCCCCCCCGCCACCTCCTCTCTCGTGGGCAATGAACGGGGCTCGGCTCCGGCCGCCTAATCTTCGCTGCCTCTCCCTCCCCCGCCAGGACCAAGCCGGGGAGACACGCTGATCCGCTGACCCGAGTGGGGAAGAGGGGGAGAGCCCAGCTCCCCCGGGCTGCTCTGCCGCCCCTGCCCATGCCCCTCTCCGGGGATGGGGGGGGGCTTTCAGAGGCGGGTGTGTGTGTGTCCCACTACTACCCCAGTGCTCTTGGTCCCCCTTCGCTTTCCCAGCTGAGAGGATGTAATTAATAAGCCCCCACCCAGCGTGCCCTTCCCGGGGGATGCCAGCCGGAGCAGCCGGTCCCCACCGCAGCCGGGCACAGGGGGGCTGTCCCCGCCGCCGAGGGCAGGGTGATAAACCCTGCTGCACCCCAGCAGGGCGGTTGTCTTGTATGAACCCGTTTAAATTAAATCCTCCGTTATTTCTTTATCTGTATAGAAGGGACACGCCGTCTACAGCGCAGAGTTTGTTATCTATCTAGCAAATCCATGTGTTTGTCGCTAGTGCCAGTCTGGCACGGCAGAGCTATTTCATTAGGCTTCATTATGCTTCGAAATTACCTTTTTTCCCCACCTTCTTCTGCCTAAAAGCTCCTTGCTCTCTTTTGCTCTGGCAAAAACCAGCGTGCGGGCAATCGCTGCGTCCCTCGGTGCGCTCGTTCCGTTACCAGCTTTAATCAGGAATAGATCTCAATTTCCCCCCCAGGTTTTGAACAGGGGGCTTGTCCCCCCCCCCCCCCCCCCACACCTCTTTTTGATCCCTGAAAAGCAAAAAGTGAAAAGCTGATCCCGTGAAAACGACGAACACCGCTTCTTCCCGGCCCTTTTCTCACCTAGCCAAAACCACGACGGGAAGGAGACAGGAGGGACAGAAAGCTGCAGAAACCCGCCAGGAAACCTCCCGAGCAGGGGGGGATGATTTCATGTGACGCTTTGCTTGGGTGACATGAGCTCCGACCCTGCGCTCTTTTGCGCGTCCGCGCAGCGCCCC